AAATAATACCATGACTCCTTTCATCAATGAGTCTCAAACATTTGGCAAATATTATAAGGTAGGTAAGAAACATAAAGTGATAATTTCCACCCACCATACACCCACCTCTGGTATAGAACACGGTGGCTGTTTAGTAGTGCACCGCAATTCTTCACAATACAAGTGGAGAAAAATTGTCTTTAACTGAAACGGCAGGGAAAGAGAATGTAATTATACAGACTGGCATTTGGCCAGGGCTTCAGGGTAACCCTCCTGTTCATATGAAAAGTATCATGGGAATTTTAATGGCCACAAGGGATCAGGATCTTGGCTTTATATTTTATATTAAAGCTTGTAAACTACAGTATATAGAGCCCTGCATCAAAGAATTTTAAAAACACTATGGGCCCAATGCTGCCATACTTCCTCAAGCTGAGCAGTATGCTATTCTGTGGCCTTAACATGGAATAAGCTCATATTCAGTGGTGGTAATTTCACCCCATGCAGAAAGTATGAACAAAAGCCTATGTACTTCTTAAGTTCTACTCCTTAAGTCATCAAAACAGGGTGTACGTGAAACATTGACCTTATGCTGGCTTTCTGTACCTAGGTGAATTTCACCCCCTGTGAGATAGTTTTCCCATCCATAAAATGAGTATAAATCTGACACACACAGAGATCAGCGTTATTTGGACTATAAGCTCCTTTGGACAGGGACTGACTTTTCATCCCTGTTTGTACAGCACCTAGCACAATGGGGTCCTGGTTCATGACAGGGACTTCTAGGTGCTACCATGTTACAAATAAATAATAATAGTATAACAGTCCAGGTAAGAACTGGGCTTTTTCTTTTAATAAAGAGGAGCACTTATATGGTAGCTGCAATTGTGTAATACGTTTGTGACAACCAGTTTGCTGCTGGGTGCACAAATAACTGCTGGGGTTTCCCTGGACTTAAGATTTCCAAATGTTAAGTGGTGTTTACCTGTTTTACTTTGTAATTGTCCTTAGGCATTTAATATCTGCTGAGTTTTACTCCTCTATGGTTCCATGAGTCTGCGATTATTTTCTGCTTGTCAACATTGGTTTTCTTTCCCCCAGGCTTGGAATATCTTTTGCTTATTATGGCGTCATCCTGGCCAGTGCTGAGTTACTGGAGCGGGACATGGTCTGTAGTTTGCAGACAGCAGTGAAGGAGTTGGGGGATGATTCAGAGGAAAGCCGCAGCCCATGTCACTGTCGCTTGTTTGCCCCTTCAGATTACCGGATCATGATCATCAGCACAATTGGAGAGATTGCATGTAACAGAAACATCTCCAAGTTGTCTTTCTGTGGCTATTTAATGTGTTATGCAATGTGTTTAACTTGGCAGATTTACATGCATGTGCACAAAACAAAATGTAGGGTATGGGTGAAATTCACCCTGTGCACAGAGCCAGCCAAGGGCAATGCACTACTTCAGTGGGATTTTCAGTAGAACCTAGAATTACGAATACCCTGGGAATGGAGGTTTTTCGTAACTCTGAACAAAACGTGGTTGTTCTTTCAAAAGTTTATAACTGAACATTGACTTAATACAGCTTTGAAAGTTTACTATGCAGAAGAAAAATGCTGCTTTTAATCATCTTAATTTAAATGAAACAAACCCAGAAAGTTCCCTTACCTTGTCAAGTTGTTTTTTTAAACTTTCCCTTTATTTTTTTAGTAGTTTACATTTAATACGGTACTGTACTGTACTGTATTTGCTTTTTGGGGCGTGGGAGGGAGGTCTCTGCTGCCTGATTGCGTATTTCCGGTTCCAAATGAGGTGTATGGTTGACCGGTCAGTTCGTAACTGGTGCGCATAACTCTGAGGTTCTGCTGTAGCTACATATGCTTTGTGCTGGCATCACAGGGAAGAATTAATTCATCTTTAAGGACAGTTGTGAAAATTTAACTGGCAAAGCCAAATAGCCCCTATGCAGAGGATACATCATAACTTTCTTTTTTAAAATGACCATAGGAAACTATCTGAACAGTAAAGTCCAGATCCTCAAAGACAGGACCGCCCAGAGGATTCAGGGGGCCTGGGGCAAAGCAATTTTGGGGGCCCCTTCCAAAAGTTGCAATATTATAGAATACTATATTCTTGGGGGGGCCCCTGCAGGGCCCAGGGCAAATTGCCCCACTTGCCCCCCCGCCCCCCGGGTAGCCCTGCTCAAAGATATTTAGGTACCTATCTTGCACTGAAATCAATGGAGGCTAGACACCTAATCACCTTTGAAGATCAGGTTCTAAGTTACCAGAGAGCCAGGATTGGCTTGAAGGCAAATTTTCAGACTAGAACAGTGACTTCTGGAAAGCAAGAATTGCAGTCAATCACTGATATGTAGGCAACTGAATGCAGCAAAGGTGTGCTTTAGTTTAGAAAGGGTATTTACCAGCACCCTGTACTGTGCAGCAGAGACCTGCTCAAAGTAGGTTAGAATGGAATACAGCAGAAAGTACACAATGCATCCATAGTAACACAAACCAACATGTTTCTTGGTATATCTCCTCTGCTTCAGTATTAGGTAGTAACAGTGTCATGTGATAGCATGTTTCTATAGCACCTTCCATCTAAGGCGCTCTAAGTACTTGGCAAACATTACTGGATTTAGCTTCATGGCACTACCGTGAGGTAAGCTTTATCCCCATTTACATCTAGGGCAATGAGATAAAAAGCGATTAAAAGTTGATCCTGGAAGGTGCCAAACTCTTTGACCTCAGTCCAACAAAGGGCATAAACACATACTTAGGCTAGAAGTTAACCATGTGCTTCAGTGTTTTGCTGGACTGGGGCCACATTGCTTAGCATCTTGAAGCCCTGACTCATACAGGAAGTCTGTGGGAGAGTTGGGGATAGAACCCAGGTGTCTAGAGTTCAAATGCAGTGCTTAACCACATGACCCCACCCTTCCTCCCAGCATCTTGCTATTACTAAGAAGTGATCAAGTCCATAATGCTAGTGTGACACAATAGTAGTGAGAGACTTTAGTTCCCTTTATAGAATCTCAAGTGAGGCCAGTTCAGAAACTCCAGACATAAAAAATAAAAAAGGAAAAATAAGCAAGAGGAAGATCATGGTGTTTGGGTATTGGAGGGTGAAATCTTTTCTACTGGGAAGGTGGGATGGAATTCCTGGTTTATAGTGTCAGGAAATTATGACAGCTAGGAATGGGCTTAGACATCATTAGATAATCTAACCCTGAAGTCTGACATTTGTTTTGTTTTGTTTTCCAGTAAATCCCTTAAACATTCTAGGCATCAATTTCCTAGGAAGACGACTGAGCCTGTCTATAACAATGGGATGCACTGCACTATTTTTTCTCTTCCTTAATATCTGCACTACAAGGTAGCGTATTAGATTAGTATGCTAGTACTGTTGTGGTGGTTTGTAATACCATAGGCAGATGGCAGGACCTCTTAAATTCTCAATTTGCTAATCAGCAGTCCTGATAATTCTCTCTCTCAAAAAAATAATCTCCTGCAGTTTCCTGTCACTTCCCAGCAAAAAATGTAATAGCAGAAGCTGTAATGAGGTCTTGTATTGCTGAGACTACGGGGATTTCACAAAATATATGACAGGACATTTACTAGCATACTATGAAGTGCTATAAATAATTACAGCTAAAACACACATCAAGATAAGTATACAAAGTACATTTTGAGGTACAAAGCCCATAATTTTTTTCATTGTTTGTTTGCTTACTTAACAAATTAGGGTACGTCTCTACAGAGAACAGAAAAACCCATGGCTGGCCCGAGCCAGCCGACTTGGGCTGTGGGGCTGTTTCATTGTTGCGTAGACTTCCAGGCTTGAGCTGGAGTCCAGGCTCTAGGATCCTGTGAGGTGGGAGGGTCCCAGAGCCCAGGCTCCAGCCTGAGTCCATGAGCCCAAGTTGGCTGGCATGGGCCAGCTGCGGGTTTTTCTTTGCTGTGTAGACATCCCCTTAGACCAGCAGTGGGCAAAATTTTTGGCTTGAGGGCCACATCAGGGCTGCAAAACTGTACGGAGGGCCGGGTAGGGAAGGCTGTGCCTCCCCAAACAGCCTGGCCCCCGCTCCCTATCCGCCCCCTCCCCCTGACTGTCCCCCTCAGAATCCCTGACCCATCGAACCCCCCCTGCTCCTTGTCCCCTGACCGTCCCCGCCTGGGACCCCCCCACCCCTAACCGCCCCCCCCCAAGCCCCTACCACCTATCCAACCCCCCCTGCTCCCTGTCCCCTGACTGCCCTGCATCCACCCCCTCCCCCCTCCAGGCCTCCCCAGGATGCCCACACCTATCCAGCCTCCCGTTTCCATCCCCTTAGTGTGC